TGTGTCTAGAATTCAGCCAAAAAGAATAGAATTTCGGGAAATTTTTAAGTGATCTAACAAAATTATTTAATACCCTCATAAATATAGAATTGAAAGATAGAAATTTCATATTATAGATTGTAAGAATTTAATCAAAAAAAAATTCTATGATATTACTGAAACTGAGATAAATAAATTTGCAAGTAATTTTAAACAGTTCCGTCTTGTCGAAATCAGAATTCTCTTTGAAATGATAAAATATATTTTTGCTGACGCAGCCTAATACAACAATGTGTCTACCGATCAATAGACAAAATAAATGCGCAAAAAGATGAAAATTGGACCAAATACAATTTCGATTTGAAATTTTACAAATTACAATCTGATTTTAATGAATATTTAATTATCAAGAAAGTAAACTGATCAAAAATACTAACATTCCGTTTCTACCACAACAGCTTGGAACACATCTCTCACGTTATTGTAAGTAACCTTCTATACTAAAGAAAGATATTTATTAATCATCTACTGGAAATAGACATTCCTATCTCTCTTCTCTTCAAAGTGTTATATCAAAACTCAAAAACTAACACGTCAGATGAATGAATCACACTATAAACATAATAAATTACTTCATCGATAATTTCTTGTATTCGATCAGCATCTTCTTGAGCAATCTCTTCACTCAATGAATCTTTTCGTATTTGCGTAATAATTTCGCTTGCCGAAGAGAATCGTCCAAGAATGACTAAATGTATGACACGTTTCCTCAGCGGTCGCCTTGAAAGTTCTGCGCGGACAAATGATCGTGCACCAGCTTCAATAAACTCATAAGTTAAATATTATTGCACTGTTAACAACTAATGCACTTATCAAAAGGATTTATCATTCAATTAATTTCTAAGCTTTCCTAATATTAATTAATTTAATAAATTTATGAATCATTGTTCCTTTTAATATTGAACAAAAAAAAAATTTAACCAAGCATTTAAAATTGAATATATCGTTAGAAGTGAGAAAAATGAAATGAAATATTTCAAAATGATAATATACATACCAGCTGATGTATTAGAAGAAATCTGTTGCTGATGATTACCCACATTCTAAACATTTTATTATCAATAACTAAAAAATGTATTTCATCACCAATTAATTGCAGTATCTAACAACGATTAGATTATTCAGGAATTATCAACAAAAAATTTCTGAAATCAATAAAAAGCATGATTTGAAGCTAGCTACCACAACTACTAGAATTATAATCTTCCTTTTTTTTTTCTTAAAATAATCTCTTTTGAATCTTCGTAATGCAAGATGCTGTTTCAAACTTGATCAATATTACCAAAGCGCTACTGTCAAAGAAAAAGATAAATCTGTATATGATCTAATTTACTTTGGATGCAGAACTTTTATTCGAAGAATCAGAATGGCAAGATCGAGCAGAGGATGATGAACTTGGACGTTGAGCACCGACTGCTAATGGATTCGTTGCACGCTTCACAATTACTGGACGTTGTTCACGTTTATGTCTGCAAAAAAATCAAAAATCTAACTAAATCTGATGAAATAATCGGCTTGATTCACTTGCATAAAAACATCTTGTTACTTTGCGGATCCTAATTCAGTAGCCATTCCGATATCCATTTTATTCTGCTACTTAAAAATGGCCTCTCAAATCAAATTATTTTTCGAACGAAGAAATGTTACTCCATCATTCTTCACTTAACAAAACATTTAACAACAAAAGTAACCTAGATGATTCCTTCATTTGCTTTTTTTTTTCTTCCTCAATAAGTTTATCACGTGTTTCAGCAAGCGCCTTCGCAGTGGTTTGCACCTAAAATTGTTTTATTGTCATCAAAATTTTATTCCAGAAATGTTTACTTAATAGGAGATCAGTGTGACTGAAGTAGTATATCCTGGAATATTATTTTAAAAAAAGGTATAAAAGTTTTAAGAAAAAAAAGAAATGTTTGCTTGCCTGTATTTTGGAATGAAAAGTAGCCACGGTTCTGTACCTCTTTTGACAATCATAAGAGACAGCATCAGCTGGCGCACCCGGTACTTCCTGGATGACGAAACGAAACTTCGTTGCTTGTCCACTACAACCAATTTCGATAGTACCTCCCTACAGCAAAAATAAACTTAAAATATTACGGAAAATTTCCTTTTATACAACTTTAAATATTCCAGTTTTCTTAAACTCCGACGGTTATGATTTTGTAAAATTCACTAAATAAGTTTAATTTAATTTGAGCTATTAATATTCCAGTACCTTCTTACATTTTCACATCAATAATTAATAAATCATGGAATACAGATCTGTCAAAAAAAGAGTTTTTAAAATTTCCCATTTTTCTCCGAAGATTTTCTAATAAAAGTAAGAAAGAGGATGAAATTCTGATCATATTAATCATGGTAGAAATTGAATAAAAACAATGCAATATTTCATAGAAAATATGGATCGTACGAATCGAAAACAAAAGATTGCAGTTTTTGGAATGCCAGATGAAGTTATTTTGCAGGGAAAATCTCCAAATCAACATTAAAATTAAAGACTAAAATGCATTTGCTAATTTAATAACATTTTAATAATACAAGTACGTGAAATGTGGCATAAATGATAAACCTGTTTATCAATTTTCAGTCGCACCGGTTGTCGTGTTTTTTGAGCTACTTTAAGAGCGGCAATACTTTCATCAGTAAGCTTAATCATCATAGCTGATTGACGAGACATTGAATCAATATCCATCTGCATCCGTAACACTTCCAAATTACCATTAATAGAGGATGAATTATGCGGTGACCCCGTCGCAGCCATCCTGATATCAGTTTTTTCTTTGATCAATTCTTCAACTTCACCTTTTCCTACTTTATTGTTTATTCACACTCGATCTTTCACCTGAATCAATTTCATTTATTTTATTTCAAGAAATAAATCATGTCACAGAAACGTGACGTGTTCAACTGTACAATAAATAACGTGGTAACGTGAATAATCCTCATTTATACAGTAAGATAGCCAATCAAAACTATTGCTACTTAAATATGAGTCATCATTTTCCATTTATAAATTCCAAACTCAAAAGAATCTATTAATTGTACATAAAGTAGTATACTGCGCTTAAAGAATAAGAAAAAAAGTATTTAGTAGATTGCCTGTGTAACTGCATGAAGAAGTCAATCCTTTGACCTTTCGCAGGTAGCAGATGAGCAAGTTGAAAATTATCGAATGAATAGTAAAACTGCGTATGAAACTATCAAGGTCAATAAGTTTTGACAAAAAAAGTAGTCAACATTAGTTTAAAAGAAACGAGAAGTTATGCTGTAGACTATAGACATACATTTATCATTTTAAAATATTGAAGAATTGGTGATATGAATGGACAAAGAACTGATATGAATTCTTGGACCATCCATTTATCATTGATAATTCAATTATTTGAAAAATATGTTAAAAGGTCAAGCAAATCTTACGAAATGAATTGAATCTTACATGTGTTATTCTCAACTTAGTATACAAAAATTTCACACAATATATAGAAATTTTTTTCATTACTTATTTTACAGAAAAATTAAAAGAAGTACGAGATTTATTCGTGAAATAACTAATCAAAGATATAATAAGACGAAAAACACTGACACTATCACCATTTCTTTTTCTTCCAGTCCTCTTTTCTTTCCATCCTATATTCATATACTTATCATAATTAATGATTTAAAAAAACGAAGAAGCTATATCTCATATTTAAAATTTTTTTTTTGTTATAAAACTTAAAATATCGCCTTTTTAAAATAATTTTTATTACAAAAGTTTCGAATAAAAATTATTTCAAAATAATGACATTTTAAATTTTTGCACAGAAATACTTGTTCTCATTTTCTACAAAAAAAAGAAAGAGATTAGTTAATAAATATTATCAGCAATATAACGGTAGTTTTATAGGATGGAGTCCGAAAAATATGAACAAATAGAAGGGCAGAAATAAAAAAAAAAAACAAAAATTGGATAAACTCATAAATTCCTCACTAAAAAGTTATTTATATTTATTTTCGCACTGCTAATTATATCGGTGAATAATTAGCAGTGTAACGTTCAACAGAACATATATAGTGAAAATAAAGAGTTCACAATTCATCAATAAAATGAAAGGCTATTATAAAATAAAAATTATTTTAGAGGAGTAATATGAAGGTGATAGTAAAATAAGAGTTAGATTAGAAGTTAGACTAAGGAAAATAGAAAAAGAATGATAATCACTATTAAGATCAAACCATTCCATCCGTTTTTTTTTTTCTCTGTAGTATAATAGTAGTATGCTGCAAGTTGCTTACTTCATTGACTTCAAAAGTGACAAAATGATGAGCTCGTTGAAAATTTAACGAATGCTCATATGTCTCTAACAAATCGATCGATCGAATAGTGTTATTGCGATAAGGCTTCTCAGTTGACGACATTTCTAGCCATACAAAGCGGACACGAATTGCCGTTTTAAAAGCGCTTCGTTTTACAAATTGATATTTGCTGAACAATAACTAACTACTCGATGACTAAAATGTCATCTATGTGTGACGTTCACAGAACGTATATTTTTTACAATTCAAATTAATTTGCAGAAAAAATATTTCCCTACCATACTCCTAATCTTTCAAAGATAATACATAAAGAAGCTAACTATATATGCTAACCATATATCCTCAACTCCTATTCTAAGCATATCTGATAATGTGATAAGTTAATCCAGTATATATACATACATATGAAAGCAAGGAAATTGATTTAAGATGGAATGATTTCGATAATTCTGCAAACCTGTCATTTCCAGTCTTATCTTTTATTAAAAAACAAGATGGAAATGCAAGAACATAATATACAAATAATAATCATTCGAAATCAAGTCTTACACAAATGTAATAAAAAATTGAATTTTTTTTTATACAGCTATGCAAAAAATTTCACGACACTAATAGCTTCGTTTAGAGTAACTTTTGAAAAGGCAAATTTATTTTTTTTCCTGTTATTTTTCTTTTTTGAATTACTTTATATAACAGTTTTTTTCCATTATGCATAATCTTTCATCTCTAAAAGATAGTTATTTTTAACTAATATAATAAGATTACAAATACCACTCTGTTTATATTTTCATCATCAAAGATTAATCTCAAATCTAGAATTTTTGATTATGATTAATTACATGAAATGCAATTGCTCCCAACTTTTTATCTGAAATAAACATGAAAATTATCAATATTTTCATGTTATCATCATATAAAAAATACTGCTCAAATGTTATCAATTAGGTGATATTGCAACAATCTTATAGTACAATAAATGATGGACCATATATTCTGATATATTTGGGATATGATAGATTCCCGATTGAGTTTACCTCTTTTTAAGATTATCAGTCATGCTAATGGAAGATTATTTAGTCCCACAATATGGAGCTATTGCTAACAGAAACGATTGCATTGCACCTTCTTCCACTAGTATTCCGAACTATTAAACTTCAACAAATTTTATCGTTCCCTCCGGCACATCAATCACTGTTCGACAGAAGTATGTGGAAAGTATGTGAATTACCGTATTCTAATTAGAGAGATTCAAGTTTGCCAAATAACTAATTATTATGAGATTGAATAGTTCTGTTCTATGGATCATTTTGAAGTCCAATGATATTTTTATTACCAGCTGGTTTTCCTCCTCTCCACGTGCCTTCTTGTTGGATTTCAATTTTAACAGCGTATAACATCATTTGTATTTAGCAGAAACGAATTATTACATGTTACAGTTTTGAAATTACAAAAAAACAAAATACAAATTTTAAGCAAATAAAAATTGATGAAAATAAAAAATAAAAAGCTGAAAAAAGTGCATAATTTTTTAGCAGACCAATTATACAAATGCACGTCTGATCTTTTTTTTTGTTTTTCAGTGATGTATTTTTAATGTGCAGCCAGAAATTGTTGGTTTAGGTAAAAATTACTTGGCCTAATTGTGAAAACGAAAATAAAAAGGGAAAAAGTAAAAATGTCTCTTTCTCTCTCCCTCTCTCCAATAAAAAAACGAAGCAAATAGCAAGGAAAAATCTTTAATAAATATTAAATGTCGATAAAATTAGACTAAATTGTGCTAATTTAGCAGTAAATGATTGAAATTTTCAAAAAA